CTGCTAGAGAGGCATGTAGGCAAGTAGTGTCTTTAAACAAAAGGACACACAGCACACCGACACCACAGACTTATCTTTGAGTGTTTGGGATCTGTTTTGTTTAAAAATGTTTTACAATGTACATTAATTGTCCTTGGCTCCGTCCTTACTCTCTACATTATTAGACACCAAACAGAGGATAACAAAAGTACAAATTTTTAATAACTGATAAAGCTGAAAGAGTTACTTTGCAATATGATTGTGTTTCAAGGAACTAGTTGTTTTCCCAACATTAAATAGCCATTAAGTAACACAATACCTGTCCAGCATAAAAAAGTGGCAAGACAAGGTATGTGAGTGACTGAACATCTAACAAGCCAAAGCAACCCAGACACTTTTCTCCTAACCCATTTTAAAATTTAAAGACAAGTGAACATTTACCAGGTGGGATGATCATGTTGTTCTGTGTTACTATGTAATTTGTCAACTTAATGCAAACATGATAGCCACTTGATAATCCAAGCTTATTCCTCCCTAGTAATAAAGAAAAATCAAGGGGCGTCGGTGGCTTAGTGGGTAAAGCAGGCGCCCCATGTACAAGGCTGTTGCCGCAGCGGTCTGGGTTCAAATCCAGCCTGTGGCTTTGCTGCATGTCATCCTCCCCCCCCCTCACACTTACCTGTCCTGTCCATTAAAGGCGAAATGCCCATAAAAAAAATCTTTAAAAAAAAAATCACATTGGCAGTCATTTCTAATGTGTGAAGAGACAAATTATGATTTCTGGCAGCATATTGAATTATTATATTATTTGCACTGGGACTTAGAATGCGTAGGGATTCCTGTTGTACTAGATTGTGTAAGATTGCTTCACTGTGAACCCCAGTAGTGCAGCTCCGTGTTATCTTTCCCTCTTTTGAAAAACTGCAAGTCATTCTATCCAGTGCTAGCTTAATCTGACCCTCCACCACACTCCCAGAGTTTCTGTCTGTGCCAGTCCCTGTATGGATGCTGGTGAAGCAGCAGCCACTGCACGCTGTCTGAGACTAAAAATAGCATCCCTGTCTCAGACAGAATGATGTCATAACTGAGCTGACGTGCTGCATTACAATCGCCAACCAATGTGGTCTCTTTTTCCAAAAACCTGATTGATCAGAACCAATCGGCTGACAGGATCTGAAGTGAGGTTGGGTACAGCTATGTTGCTGTGTGTGTTTGCCTGCAGGTATGTATTTATGTGGCCGTGCCTTCACCTCTTTATCCCAGCTCCACCCTCCTCTCACTGACAGTTTGCGTGTCTTCACTTTTCACACTCGTACTGAGCTCTGGCAGAGGCATTACTCTACAAACACAAAACTACCTCTCATCGCCGATGTCTGTGTTGCATGCAAAAACACACCACAAAAGAGCACGAAAGCTGCTCAAATAAACACACAGGTTCATGTGTATGCCAAGAGGGTTTCAAAGATTGCAAAGCTGTTGGGTTTTGGGGCTCCCCTTAAATAGCACAGACTTGAGGTGTGAGCTTAGCCGGCACACATCTGGCTTCAGGTACTGTGCGCTAAAATTGCAGATACACAGTCTGGTGTTAAGTGCTCAATGCTGTGTTGTTTTTGCACAGGTTTGTTTAATTAATCATTATTTTATGATTTTTTTATGAATTCAGTAAATATTCATTTGGATTGTTTTGTTAGTTGCTAAAAAATTTTAAACTCCATATTTTGAGGATTCAGGCATAAAAAATCTTCATTATTTCTGTATCTAATCGGCCCTGTCTTTGATAATTTAGTTTTAGTTTTAACATTAATATTTTCCACAGTGCTCTGGGGCAGCATGTTGATTTATTAGATCCCCTCAACTGCAAATTTCAAAAGTATATAAAAAGTAGAACAGATCTATGTAATACTGGGAGAGGGGACCTTTTGTATTCAGGAGATGATGTGATGAGGAGTGATGACTTTATGACCCCATCACATGCACACAAACACACACACTGATTAGAGCTGATTAAATCTACAGCAGAGCTACCAAACAGTACTGGACATTTTTTACATTTTCAATGGAAGTGATGCTTGACTTACTACTGGCCACACAAGAAGACAAGCCTATGGATAAAAAAAACCTGCTAATCCACAAAGCCAGTCTGCCTCTGGGTGATGCCTTTTCGCTTTGTCTGTTCTATCAATGCTTGTGCTGACTACCCAGCTCTGCTGCCAAAAATGTAAAATGCATCACTTACTGGCTGCCACAAGATTTCTCAATGGAAAGACCCACCTGAGAGCAAGTATAAACAGCAAAGTGTGTAAAAATCTGTCATTCATATGAAGATGCATTGGAAATCCATGGTTACAACTATGGAAAAATGTGGATGACAATATTTAGACAGAGTGCAAAACAATTGCACCACAATTTACTGCAACAAGACATTAAATGAAGCAATGTGGATTCTGTCCTGGTTGTGGAACAGTGGACCAGCACTTTACCCTTGCAGGGCAGCTGAAGGGGTTGTGAAAATTTGACCATCCAGTCTACATCTGTTTAGTGGACTTGGTAGAAAGCTTATGACCACGTACCACGGGGAGTCTCGTGGGGGGGAACTGTGGGAATTCATGGCACTGGGATCACTGCTACAAGCCATCCAGTCTTCATATGACCAAAGTGAGACCTGTGTCCTTATACTTGCACACAGTCAAACATGTTGTAAGTGGGCACTGGCCTCCGCCAGGGTTGCTCAGCGTCCCCAGTTCTGTTTGTGGTATTCATGAGCCGGATCTCAAGGTGCAGCTTGGGGAAGGAAGAGGTCCAGCGTGGGGACCTTAGAATTGCATCTATGCTCTTTGCAGATGATGTGGTTCTGTTGGCTTCATGAATCCATGACCTCCAGCATGCACCAGAGCAGTTTGCAGCCAAGTGTGAGGCAGTTGGGATGAGAGTCAACATCTCTACGTCTGAGGCCATGGTTCATGGTTCACTGCCAGAAAAAGGTGGACTACCCCCATTGAGTTGGGAGAGAGTTACTGTCCCAAATGAAGACGTTCAAATATCACAGGGTCTTGTTCACAAGTGAGGGTAGAATGGAGAGTGGGATAGCTAGGCAGTTAGGCATGGCACCTGCAGTGATGCGGGCGCTGCGCTAGGCTATCATGGTGAAGAGGAAACTGAGCCAAAAGGCAAAGATTTACTGGTCCATCTCTGTCCCAAACCTCACCTATGTTCATGAGCTTTGAGTAGTAACCGAAAGAATGAGATTACAGATATGAGCTACTGAAATGGGCCTTAAAGATAGGGTAAGGAGCTCACACTTCTGGATGGATGCCTTCTGGGCGCCTCCCGTTAGAGGTGTTCTGGGCATGTCCAACTGGTATGAGGCCACTGGGCAGACCCAGAACACGCTGGGGGGATTATATATTTTATCTGGCCTGGGAATGCCTCGGGGTCCCCCAAGAGCAGCTGGAAAGCGTTGCTGGGGAGAGGGACAACTGGAGTACTTTGCTCAGACTGCTGCCCCCAAAACCTGACCCTGGATTAGCAGATGAAAATGGATGGATGGATGGATGGATGGATGGATGGATGGATGGATGGGTGGATGGATGGATGGATGGATGGACATTAAATGAAATAGGTTACCAAACATACATGTGTTTAGATGCATTACAGCATTACCTAAATACAAATTGGATGCTGTGTAAAGATATAAAAATATTCACTTAAAGATAAAGTGTGCATATGGATTATATAATGCTTCTATAATGTGTGTTGGATGACTGAGCCTAACATATGAGCAAGTCTTCAATTTACTTATTTTAAGTCTCTCAAAGCATTTTTCTCTTCTAGTCCACAATTCCACTTTTCATCTGCCTTGAATGAAAGGGAAAACCTGGACACCTGGAGGATGGTTATTTACTTTGTGCTTGATACAAGCACTTGGCAGCAAACACCGCTAATGACAGAGACTGGAGAATCTGCTGAGGGCTAGCATTTTTCCTCTCCTGCGCATCAAATAAAACACTACACCCGATAATTAGGACTGGAAGTGGTTCTTGATCAGAACTTGCAGGCAGAGGACCGGGTGAGTGATGGGAAGAGGTTTCATACAACACAATGTTGGATTCCATTCCTATTTTCTACCCCAAAAAGCAGGAAAGGGCTTAGGGGATTTGCATACAAATGAAGGGGCCTGTTTTGGCATGCACTGTTCTGTTTATCAGATTAAAACTATAGAAACCAAGGGGAGTGAATTTCCGTGTTAAGAATATCCAGTTTCTCTTTCACTGCGCCAGAAAGTCGGAGGGAGGTTGTGGGTAATGAGCTGCGTCTCCCTGGGTAACACCATTGAGATACATTTCACCACAGACTTTCTTACAAAGATTCTATTGATGTGATTTCTGTATTTGTTATTTTGTGACAGTAAAAACTGTTACATGCGATCCCATAACAGAGGAAACAGTAACCATCCAAGGGACACGGTCCAACAGAATGACATGAAGATGAAAGATGGAGCACGCTACCGGTACTTTCATCCTTTGAAGACCATTTTCCAAAGAACAGTTGTCAGCATACATGTACATTTGTATTTGCATCAAAATACAGAAGAAATACAGCAATTACATTATTAGTAGCTGCAGGAACTTCACCAATCAGGGTTTTATATAGATTGTCCATAGGTCTTAAAAACCGTACAGCAGCTGCACTGTCAGGAATTACTACAACACTGAGCAAATACATGTGTATGATGCATTAATATAAGGTGTACGGATCAGATACAACACAGCTTCCTTCGTGCACACTGTCAAAGAACTACTTAAATCTTCCTGCAGCCGCCAAAACAAAAGTTCTCAAGTCTACATCTACTGTAACCTGCAACTATATAGAAGCCCCACAAAAGGCAGTAGAAACTAGTCATGGTTGAAAGTAAAAGTGTGTGAACAGTTGGTGCCTTTTCCTTTATGCAAAGGAGCAGAGTAGTGTGCATGCAGTGAATAAATTGCCTTAAGCTGCCACTAATTGGGAAAGAGGCCCCTCACCACAACAGAGATGCAGTTGTGTCTTAGGTTGAGTTCAGTCAAACAGTCCAGACCCTGCAGGTTTTCCACTCTGGATATGCTGTTTCCCGCCAGGTTCAACACTTGCAGCTCGCTGAGGTGAGACATGTTTTCTATCCTGCAGATCTGAATGAAGGCAAAGTGAGACAAATGTCATGCACAACATAAAACCCTGTGAAATGGCAATTTAGATAATGATATTCTACTTTTAATGCTAGCAGAACATAACACACTGAAATTGTATACATTCACTGCTCAGTCTGACATCATATCATGTAATTAAATATCATCATATGGTTTATGTACATTTTGAATTCTTTATCCTGCACACAGCTAAATTTTTGGGTCCATGTCATTGGTTCGACAGCCCATTGGTTCGACATCCCATTAGTCCGACTGTCCGCGGTGCTGAACGGCTCACTGCGGGCGTATGGTGCGCCGCGACCGGCTTGAGGCGGAGCAGGCTCACGGCTTATGTGTTTGCCACTTTCTTTTTCATTTTAACCCACACCATGATCTTTTCCTGACCCTAACCAAGTGGTTTTTGTGCCTAAACCTAACCAGACCTTAACCACAGGGCATCATGATGATTTCGGAATGGACTTCGGAACAATGAGTTTAATATGGTCGGAACAATGGGATGTCGAACCAATGGGCTGTCGAACCAATGGGCAGTTCCCAAATTTTTCTGGGGTACAAGAAAGCCAAAATGCAGTGTGCTCCATTTTCTTTGCAATGCCTGAGGCTGCACCTTCTGCTAAATGACACTTTAACAGAAATGACATTTCCACTCTCTTCATTACCTCACAGTGACCCACTTCACAGCGACAATCTGTATCACTTCTGAACATCCTGAATGACTGATATGCAGTTAGTCACATCAAGTTGTGACTTCTTTGACCTCCCAAAAAATAATAAACAAGTAGTTGAGAGTCAGTCAATGGTGAAATGATGCCCCTCCTCTCTCTGGGAGAGAATACTTAGGGGCCCACGTCACAATGACACTTGAAATACTTCAGAAAAATTCCTGGTGAGAGTGATGGGTTTGCTCCCTGTAGTGCATACTGTACATGTGAGGGTAAAGTTAAAAGGACATCAGGGTTTCAAGGATTCTTTCAAAGATTTGAAAGATTACAGTTTTAGCTAAGAAAATAATAATGTGTTAAAATTTGAAATATAGATAAACATTTGAGCTTATGTCTGAAAATATAATTTTTATAGCTCACTGGTCCAGAAAAGTAGGCTATGCAAAAGTTTTTTTGGGCTTTGGACTAGTTAGGACAGCACTCCCAGATGGTCTGAGAGAGCTCACAGGTTCATACGCATAGAAACCCATAAGAAGATTTTAAAATCAGTATACAAACCTACAGGGAACCACTGTACATTGGGAGTATTATGCACTTCCCTTCTGGTCCTAGTCAGCAGAGTTTTAGATTAATTGCTGTTGCAGTTGTAGTTGATTTATTTCTAGCTTTAGGGAGTTCAGATGGGAACTCATTCGACAAAATGCATAGGAGTTTCTGTATTAGGAACAGAGAGAAATGTGCAATCCTGGCAATGTTTGTTAAATGATTAAATGCTGTTCTGATTAAAAACCGTGGAGGTTAGGCTGCTACTTTTTTATGTTTCAGATACATGAAAAAAGGTGTATTCTACTTGGCTCCCTCCAATTTTTCAAAGTGTAGTGGGTGTGCAAAAGGTGTCAGCACAGTTCAAAGAAAATGTCAACAAACCGAGTGCAACAAGTCAACCCCAAACAACACCATTAAGCAGTCTCATCTGGTGATGGATACAGCAGAGTGAGGTCATCACACTGCACTCAAAGGCCTTTACAACAGTTGTATTGTGGTGTCACAGCTGACATGAATACTTTCAGTCAACACACAGTCAGTGCACACTAATGGGACAATGGTACCCAAAAGGTTAGAGTGGCAGGCTTGTGACAGGGATCTAGTTCAAATATCAAGAAGATGCATGACTGTAAAGCAGTCAGTGGATAGCAAACAGCTGCACGCTCAGTGAACCCTCCCTGAATAAATTAAGGTGAGAAAATAACACACATTGCCCAAACTGGAAAACAAAAACAGTCACAAAGTAAACATTGTCTCAGGCCCAGACTTGGGCATCCCTGACCCGAGCAAGACAGGCATCGATACATCAGACCTCTGTCAACACATAGACACAGTATCTCTGCACAGTGAATGAGATTTTAGATAGACTTCTTTGCATATATTTAACCCTCTGAGACCCGCATACACCCATTGCTGTCATTTGGGGGTGGGAGGAACAGGGAATCTTTAGGGGGAGATGGCAGTTCAACACTATATGCCACACAGGAGTGGTATACATAATCTTAAAACTGGAAACCTGAGGATTTGTTTGAGTAGAAGCTCAATACTGTGTGTCAAGTTTTTCTGGTCATAAATATGTAATTAACATTGAATTTGGTTAGACATCTATTCAAACTGGGAACATTTAGGCATTTTTGACCACTCAAGAATTGCTAAAACTAGTCAAAAACCCTTCCAAAATCCAGCATTGAGCCACCAACACCTTGAGGAACACCACAGAAAAATCCATACTGTGATTTAGTGTCAAAAACTTTTGACATTTGGGGATTCCTGTATGAATGGCATTTTTCGATGATTCTAGAAACTGCTGAGGAACACCCTTGTTCTCAACATACTTATGAAAGCCATGCATCCTCCGAATGCCCGAGGTCTGTAGTTTATCGTACCCAATTGATGCAATTCAAAGACTGTTTAGGAACCCAGTATGCAGAAATAAATAAATACAACAGGCGAAAATAGACCATTAATGTGAAAAAAAAAAAACAGCATGGTTTTTACTCCAGACTGCATGGGACTAACACAAAGTGGGCATACCTGTAAAGGGCAAACGTGTACCCATAGAATCCCTTTTATTTCAGATATCTTGAGGTGAGAGGTCAAGGGAAACCTGTGCAACAGTCATGACGTTTTTCCCTCATCAAAATTGTGCCTATATCTCCTGATAGCCTAGCATGACATGGTACCGTTGGATTCCTTCTTCTGGTCTTCCATGATACCATATCATTATTCTAACTTTAAAACACAGCTAGTCCTAAAGACAGGGATGTCCAACAGGATTTCCAACAGCTTGGTAGGTCTCATAGGATTTTGAGGATTTTGTGTTGCACACCATGAATGAGGTACTTTTCAGTAGTGTAGGTCAGACATCCATAATATTGAGATGGTTTTAACACGGTTAATACTTGACCTGTGATACTCAAGTACGATCTTCTTTTACTTAACCCTTGAGATACAGAAAGACATGGATCTCAATTTGTAGAAGTTTTCTGTAGTGTCTATGATATTTGTTAAACATTAGTAAAAAAAAAAACAAAAAAACTTAAAAATGTGAATAACATTGCTTTGCAGACAGGACAGAGGCCTGTTCTTGCCTGGCAGATGAGAGCAGTGAGACATGCCAAGAAGGGGTAGCAGGGGTGGTAACATCCGCTCTTGGCATGTTCCTTGTAAACAATACAGTAATCACATCTTCATTTCATATAATTTCATATAATGGCCAGTATTGTCAAAGAAGAGGACACAAACACAGACAATGCTGTGTTAAAGTTGCCATTGATGACAGCAAAGCCTTGAGCATCCTTGTGATGAGTCTCTGTTCCATCTTCACCCCAAACCCAAAGTGCAATGCTTATCACACATGACAGATTCAGTCAAACTAAATCAAAATCATAATAATGATTTAAAGGAGGAATACAATTTCTACCGTGCACATGAGCTTAACAAACTAACTCTCTAACTGTGATACTTTTTCTTGATTTTACAGACCCTGTAGGGCATTCTCCACTGTCCTCTGTGAGTATTCGAGCCAAACTGCTCTACTGGAAAACATCAATGCCTAACTAAAGATTGGTTATCCAACACTGTCAGGTCACATTGTAACCCCAACACTTGGTCACTGAGGCCAAGTGTGGGTTGGCTGCACATTCCTAAAGAGAATATCTCCTTTTGAACACTTCCAGCAAACTGGAAATGAAATGACATCCTGTCACAGAAATAAAGGGTGAAAAGAGGTGGGAAGTGAAGTGAGCCTCCCTGCTAGATGATGGGAGGAAGAAAGGATGACAGTGATGTACTGCTTGTGGTTAAAGTATGCACAGAAAAAGGAAAGAGGACAAGCAGCTGCGGTTCTGAGACCTATAGTGACTAAAAAACAACCAGAATAGAATAAGCCCAACTTCAACATTATTTTAACTCATGAATCCATTAACTCACTCACTGACTCACTTCATCATCTCGTATTATTATTGTGCAGCGATTCACATTACATTTGGGTGGTCAGGTCTCTGGTGAGCCTGGAAAACATTGAATAAAAGGTGAATGAACAACTACTTAAATGCATAAAACAGGAGGTTGTGAAGTCAGCGAGTGAAAAGCGACCTATCCTCCTCAGAATAATAGATTTATCATCTGCTCCTTAATAGGCGCCTGCCAACAAATGGCCGCCTCTGGATACAATATTCTTTCATTACCAACAAGGGCAGCAAAAAAAAAATCGTTTTAGTAATTCACTCATTCAATGTCCTATTATCAGAACTGTTTAAATTAACTGTAAAGATGCAGTTAGGAAACACAACACTAGACAGAGCTTGAAGCAACAAAGCATCCATCATTAGGAAAAACAACACAACACTGTAGCAGTCACTGAATAGTATTTTGGACGCCTGCGTATGCAAAGAGCAGCCAACATCAGAGAGGGAGGGAGTCTTACCAGGTCTCTGGAGTAGCTCTCTGAGGAGGGGCGTAGGCGGCATGCTGGCAAAACACTAATTTGACCAAGGGAAGCCTTTCTGTTCTATCTTCCTTTTCCTGAAGCTGCTAAAATCCTCATCTGACATCTGTGTTACTTACATCATTTCATTTCCCAGGCTGTCAATACAAATGAGCCAGGCTCTATTGTAGAGGCTGAATGAAAGGCCACCAATAACAGTTTAGACTCAAATTAATAGAAGCACAGCATAATCTCCTTCAGCTCATAACCATTCCCAATGCTGAAAACACAGAGACAGTTGTGCCTGTTGAATAAATTGTGCTGGGGTAACTGAGGAAATGGATGTGGGAGTAGACCCTTGACAAGAGCCTGTGGGTTCAATGGTTTTCAGTCCTTTGTTCTCTAACAGTGCTGGGAACTAAAACAATTGCTGAAGATAAATCCCTAAAAACTGAGGTAGGTAAACGGTTGACCATGACGCCCATCAGATTTCTCACTTGAAAAAGACATTATCAAATGGAGAAGGAATGCTAGACATGACCTATTTGTTCCTAATACAGTTTAGCAAGCTGTGCCATTTTAAAAGACCTTAGAGAGAAACAAGTGCACAGTTTGACTATAATGTCAGCCTTGAATTTAATTGGCCAGTGGACTAAGACGAATACATGTATTCTCATGCCTGGCCTCCTGCTGTCATGACTGTTTGACTCTACCATTTAGAGCAGCATCTAACATAGCAAATCACTACTTAGCAACAGTGTGGAAGAGGTGAAAGAGACAATCCACTTCTGAACTTAGCAGCTGAAAATCATGACCTCCTGTAACAGTATCTGCAGCTAAATGACCAAGACTAAACACACTCATGCTGCAGGTGGGAGGATAGTGAAAACCAGTACCTGATTGTCATGCAAATCCAGGGTATTCAGTCTGGACACTCTTTCCAGGCAGCATATTTTACGGATTCTAAGAAATGGAAAATATATCATAAAATGTACATCAAATGCAATTTGTCACAATGTATGAAAACAACCAGACACATTTTTGCACATTCTTAATTGTGCCAGCTGCAGCCAACTATATGTGTATAGGAAAATCAAAGGAAAATGTGAAAGAGTGGGTGCTCAGTCTATTGAACAGGTACCAAGCAGTAGAGAGCCAATTAGCCAACAAGCATGTTTAAAGGTTACATTCCCAGAGGAAGTCTTATATACAGTATGTTGTGTACAGCAACTTAATGTTCAGGACTGTCCATATGGATTTAGATCAAATAACACATGAGGATGAAAGGCTTTGGTCCCTTAAAAAATGTCAATGGTAACCTAAATCAGTGGTATTCCTCACTCTTCACCACATATGGCCCTGCATGGAGATCTATAAAGATAAATGTCAAATTTTACAGAGAGTGAAACAAATGTCAGAGTTCATCTCTAAGATCTTGATGTCATTCACGGTGATTTATGACTTTAATTTTCCTCCTGCCGACCTTGCTGCTCCTGCTGAATTACCAACACCAAAATGAATGGTTTTCGAATTAAACTGGGCATCTGCTGGAAACCACTCATTTCTTATCATGTAGCAGCTTGTATATAAAATGTATAATTCCTTAAATGCAAAAAGCAGGATGCCTTGAATAACCTACAAGCAACATTTACACATTTCACATTAAACCAGAGATCTAAAGGTGTTAGATTAAAGAACAATATGCCATTTGATGTCTTAACAACATCTCCTACTCTCCAACTTTCTTTAAATATGAACTGCACAATACTCTCTGTGTAACAGAGGCAATTTAGGCCAATCTGACATGTTCTTTGCTTGTGAGGATGATAACTAACCTGTTCTTCCCCAGCATAAGGATCCTAAGGGAGCATAGAGATTCAATGCCAGTCATTTCATCGATGTGATTATCATACAGGTTGAGAAAAACAAGCTGTTGCATATGTGACAGATGCTGGATCGTTGTGATTAGATTGTGCTGAAGGTTCAGAAGTTGTAGTTCATCCATTACGCCCAGCTGGGGGCATTCCTCCAGACAGCGCCTGGTAAATTAGAGAACATTTTGCACAATTTAGACTTTATATGGATGACTACAGATCAGGACGTAACTTTCAGGATATAACGGCTGTATTTCACCTTCAATCAATGCAATTCAGTGATGCAAATTATTGATTTAATATTTCACTATGCATAATGACTTATTTTTGCTCTGTCATCCATCAAACACTTATCAGCAAACACTTATCTTTGAGACAAGGGACAGGCATTTTAAGGGACTTTGCTGCTCCCTAGTGGAGATCTGGAGCACTTGTCATTTCAGGTGAAAGTCTTGTTTTTTCAACTGCAGATACCGTGACCAGACTGAGTTAAGAAAACCAACAAAACTTAATGGTATAGGTGATGACAAAAGAAAATGAATAACACTGCAAGTAAAGCTACAAAGACCTGCCATGGCATATGGCATCATTTGTCCAGTTTACAGTGACAGCTAAACCAACATGTTCTGTACAACACAGAACAGTTTGAAATAAAACTTTGAAAAATAAATGGCCAGAGGTACCTGTCCAAGTCGATTCGTTGTAAACTGGATGCAAAACTGTCACCAGGCAATCGAGTGTAGGGAAAACCAGGGGTTGTGTGGTATTTATATCCTCCAGAACCACCTGGCATTGACATTAAATACTGAGTTCAGGACACACAAAATATCGTACATCATAGTGCAATGCATAAAACTCAGTGCTATATACTTGTAGGGAACAAAGTCTAAATCTTACAATAACCAGTAAAACCGTTTTTTAACTGCATATTATTTGCCAAGTGGCATCTACATATTTACCTGTTGGCTTGGCAAAGTTTAAGGCATTACAGTAGTAAGTGTTCCCTGCACTGTGGGTTGGTCCCCTTGATTTGTCTCTTGTGTCCTGTGTAGCACGTGAAACTATATCCAAACCACTTTGAGCACCACATGCTGGTGGTACCAGATTATGTACAGGGGAATCTCTAGAGATACTGGCAAATGATGACACTAGAGGTGTCAGGACAAGTCCTCTGCAAGCGTGCAACCTGTTCTCTACAGTGGGTATGGTACAGGGAAACAAAGAGTGCAAACAGACCATATGATTATTTACATATCTTAGCCATTCATAAACACAATACATTGCTGAATCACGCAAAAAGAATCTTGGGGCGACTGGTAGGGGGGAGTGAGTGTGCAAATGAATGGACTGAGTCAAGCTTACCTGGGTTAGGATGATTCATTGCTTGGACGGTATACATGTTTTTTTCTTTTACAATATCTTGAAAGTCAGTCTGTAAAAAGGTGAACATTGTAAATTATGAAGCAAGCATTGGACTAGCCTTACCAACATGCTGTATTTCTCTTTCAGTCTGTCTGTCATGACTCACCATTCTCTGGGCTCTCTCCTGTACCAGGGGTTTGACAGTTGTAAGGTGCAACTTGCAGCTGTTGACCTGCAAAAATATTTTACTAACACATCAACTGAGTTGCCTTAAACAAGACATATACTCTTTATTCAAACATGTAGCTAATTATGACACCTAATCACTTTCTCTAACGTTACTGAGCCTGAGACTTAAACTTTTGATGGTTAGCCTATAACTATACTGTGAAGCATGGTAAAGGGCTATTAAAAGTAGTACTTACCATGGGGGTGAGAAACGCCCATCCATCGTTGACACTGTTGCGTTTTTGAGATCGTATCGTTTTTCCCTCAGTTCGCTCCGTCTCCATTTAGCCAATGTTTGTGACAACATTTAGCTAAAGCTAAAAGTGAACAGTTCAGACCAACCTTGGAAGAATAAAAAAACTAATTAAGTAGCGGTGCTACTTTCATGAATAACCTTAAGAAATGAGCGAAGTCATTTGCTGCACTAATATATTTGTAAAGCCTGGGTTTGTTGGTTCAAAACCGAACGAACTTCCTCAGAGACAAGCACTGTTGCCATGGCAACGACGGCGTTGCTTAGTTACGCTCACTTCCCGTGTCAGTAAAAAGCACTCCGTGGGGAAACTAGTCCTGAAATTGTTTCTTTAACGAAGGAAGTTTGGCTTAGTTTTGTTCGGACTTTAATTGTCATTTATTATTCCCAATCATTGTGACTTTGTCTTGCAGAAGATACGTATGTCACAAACTAGTTAAGAGGCCTGTATTTCCGGTTATGTAGTGTGTAGGCCAGGTGTGGTGGGTGAAGTACTGACCATGGTACTGACAGCAACACTTGAGTGAAATTACCAGAAAATGACTTTGGTAAAAGTTAAAGTCACCTATTAGAATATTACTTAAGTAAAAGCCTTAAAGTATCAGATATTTACTGTACTTAAGTGTCAAAAGTAACTTTATAATATTAACTGTACTTAGGTATTGAAAGTAAAAGTAGAAGTAAATGCTGTCAGTGAAAAAGCAAGCAGTCAGCATTTGGAGAATCATGAAGTTAATTTCTTCGGAAATGTAGTGTACATTACACCTGAAGAAAAACAAGGTCTTTTTTCAAAACTTAAAGGATTTAAAGAGCAAATTCCAGTTGTCCTTCCCTCCATTCCTTCATTCATCCATCCGTCCCCCTTCATCCTTCCTCATTTCCTTCCCTATTTTGTAGTATGTTACTACGATGCTTAGGGGAAATGTACTGGCCTATACATTTTTTTTAGGAATTGTGGTGGAGCAGAAGTGAAAGTTGAAATATAAAAACTCAAGTACAGATACAACCAAAAAATACTTTAATACTGTAACGAACTACTACTTTACCACATTACACCACTTATATAGGCTATTTCTGAAAAATTGTCTTTAATCAAATTTCCACAAAAAGCCTAGCGTCCCCTAATAGGAGCACTGGTTGATTTCTGGTTCTCAAAGCTGCCAGATGTAGTCCTTCCCTATGGACTCTATTTGACAGAGAAATTGCATAATATACAGTACGGAGAGTGGGCAGAACAGGGGTCCGTAGGGGCCCACAGCTCAGATTAACACCAGGCCCCCCTCTTGGGTTACACTGGCCATGTTTATGTTTTACATCAAACAAGATAATTCTCAGTCAAACAGGTCAAGGGTATGTATCAGCCAATCACACATGACCTCCGAGAGTACACCTACGTCGGAGTAAATGCAGCAGAAAAACAAATGGTCTGATGTACACAGTGGCCTAAGTAAACACTAGTAGCCTCTGCAAGGGTCAGTCATATTTACCTGTGAGATGTAGGGGCATTGTGCTTTTTCCAGCAACCCAGATGAACTACAGTAATCACATCACATTTAGAATATAATTAGATAGGCCTACAATATATAAGAAAAATGTTGGTGTTTTATGCAACTATTGAGAGAACCATAACAAAGATAAACTATCTGAATATGATAAGACCACTATAATCTACTAGCAGGTAAAACCACAAAACATTGATGTAAGCTGTAAGACAAAACAAAGTACTATATTTGTTAAGATGCAAATTACACATAATAGAATTGCACGTACCTATTTTCAGTCCTAATTCTAAACATGATTAAAGCAAAACACCTCAAAATGCGAGCAATTACCTGCACCTGAGACTTATTCATTGCTCCTTTTTTGTACTCTGGATAAAATTGATGTAATGCTGAGGAAAGAGATTGCTATGATAATGACCACAACAACACTGACAACAGACCTTCCTCACAGTGTTGTCATTACGGGAAAAGGCACAGGTGCAACAAATAACACTAATAATGGCTGTGTTCCAGTTAGGTGTGTCACTTAGCCATGGCAGTGAGTCACTTACATTTCTCAGATATCTTGGAATTATTCTATTCTAATTTCTTATAGACATTAACCTGTCATGTCATGGGTGGATAACATTTTGGAACCTGTCTTTATCCATAGTTTTGATGCTCTTTCTTTCCTCTACTTACAGTATAATTCAGGTGACTGCCAATTGAATCAGTCGCACCACAGAGCACCAAATGTGATAAAAAAGATTGCTTTGTGTATTTCCAGCCTTTTTACTCTGGCAGTAATGAGCGGTTGCTCACAGAACGCAAGTCCAGATTCATCAAAGGGACATCCCACACACTGCCTGTCACAGTCTATTCATGAAGCACAGGCTGACACATATTATGGGAGGTGGCCATCAGCAGTTTGTATGACAGGCTATACTGAAGAAGTACAATGTAAATACTAGCTATTTATAAATGGAGCTACATGCACAGCTTTGCAACATACGTAGATCTATCATACGTGACTCCCAGGAGAAACAGACACAGAGCAATAACAGGTGTTATTCTGTATCTGTCACCTTTTATCTCGTGTGTCTTTGCCCTATTTCTTATTTTGTCTCAGTTATAATTTCAGCGCCCTCTGCCAGTTGGATCAAAAAGGTTGTTTTTTTTACTTCACCAAGGTGTTTGAGTGTGACATTTAAAACATTACAATACTTTTTCCCTTAAAGTTAGACTCAGTGGTATTGAGGATCTTTCAGCAGAGAGATAGACACATGCAGGAGGAAAAATAAAAAATAAATCATTGTCACTTGCTCTTAATACTCAACATGGGGACTCCAGAAAACTGTAAACATTCAGTCTGAGTCTGATATATACAGCACAAAATAGTGATATATATATTGATCTGCTGTTAGAAAAACATAGACATTGGCTTTTTTTATAGGAGGAAATGGAATAAATGCAGCATAACTGTAACAGTGATGCTGATTTGTTGGCAGCAGCACAGCATGACTCCTGCCTTCACCATCAGGGGACTTGGAGATGAGGAAACAGGAACATTATTTGTAAACATATTCTCACATGAAATATATATATATATATATATATATTTATATATATATGACAGCAGAATTACGGTAAAAGGTGACCTGTTCTTTTCTAACATTTGACAGTGTGTGTGTGTGTGTGTGTGGGAGAGATCTCGTTTTTCCTGTCAGTCAGACAATTCATCAAGCAATTTTATTTCAGTTTATCCATAGCAACTGAAATGATTTATGCCATTTACAGTCAGAGAGAAAAATGAATTACTTGACAGCTCTGAGTTAATGATTTCAAGCTTCAGTTCATTACTAATTTAATACCCTGCGTATTGATGAAAGCGACTGTAGGAGAAACAAGGATGGTTGTAACAATGACATTCACTATATTCACACAGCTTCAGATAATAGTTTTATTGTAGCGCTCACGTGATGTGGTCCCCAGTAGAGTTTAATAAGCAGCTCAATGACCAAAATGATGTGTGATGAGCTTACAGAAGGCATAATATCAGCAGCACAAGAAAAAAAATTGAAGAGACTGCTAGATGTTGCTTTACTTTAAAAAATGAATTTAAAGCAAGATCTCTCTTTAGTTAAAACTGATGACATCTGTGGTGATTATAAACCCAATTAGCCCTCTGTTTGCTGTGAATGCAGCAATAGTTGGGGGTTGTGACGTTTTCTCGCAGCTTTACAACCATCCCCCATCTTTTGCAGTATTCCTCAAACATGGAAGTAAGAAACAGACGGGAAGGGGGAAACAGATTGGTTGTCATGGCCTCTTCCATCTGCCATGTCACACCGTATCAATATTATCAAGCTTTGCAGAGGCAAAGAGAGAAGGGATTCTGTGAGTGTTAAATATTTTTTTATTAAAATTTTACCCTGTGGGTTGATGTCAGCAGATCCCTTTGTTACTGTACCTCCTACTTACAACAGTTACTGCAGCTATGCAAGTGGTATGGCAGGTTTTAACAATGGAATTTAATCGTACATCTAGTAGGTCATGAACTCAAAGGGAACTGGATGTGCTGTCCATCTAATGATGATGATGATGGGTGGATCTGTTGTATTTAAACCTCTCTTGATAATTAAGATGTCACATGTTACTTTAAGCTAATTAAAGTGAGAAGCAAGACTAATAGTCTACAGACATGCTAGTGGCTCTGTGACAGAAATGCTTGGAGCTAAATCCTAACATCAACATGCTGACATGCTCAAAAAGACAATGCTAACATTTGCTAATTTGCACTAAATACAAACAAGTCTTTCCTGCAAATTCAAAGATTATGTGAGGTAAAGTCAGACCCAAGTTCTTTGAAGATTGTCAGACTTCTGGGTCATAGGATATAGACACACTTAGTCAGAGTCAATTAGACATGACTAATCTAAGAGGCTTCACTTCCTCTGAGTGGTTCCGAGAATTGTATCATTAGAATCACATCACAGTCTCAAAAATTATGAGGAGTCAAGTCGATTTGAATAAACTAACACAATATTTCAATGGGATTTAAAAGCCCAAGCCTTACTGGCATCATAAGTAAAAAAAAACACCTGAAAAGCATATAAGGGACTTGAGAAAGGGGGGAAAGGAAGAAAAAAAAGGGGAAATTATCTGAAGAAAAGAGGCAGGAGTGGCAATTCAAAGAGAGTCTCCTTGGAGGGTTGGTGATGCAATGAGAGCCAGAAGTGGGAAAATGGTAATCATGAGAAATGAAGAATATATTAGGGTGTGAATTAAAAGGAACTGCCTGGAGAGAGCTTTTAGAATGGCACTGTAAAACATCATACACTAAGTTTCCTGCTTATTAGCACACCTGGATGAATTAATTAGTTCCAGTGCAACAGCCCTGTAGTTCCTCCTGTCTTCATCAGGTTTGTCTTGTCTAGTGTTTGTCAAATATGTGTCAGAGAGGTTTTGATTGAACTCTACAGCCATTTTGGAAGCTGAATTATATTGTATTATACTGGAAGGGGCCTTATTTTGTTGTTCACAGCTGTGACATAAGGGTGGACAAAATAATAGACACATCTTCCAATAGCTTATGCATTTCTTATATATTTTTGTGGATTGTTTTGTGCAAATCGTGCAATGATGGTTTAAAAAAAAAGGCCTGAAGGAGGCCATCTACGTCAAACTGACATCCATGCCTGAAAAGAGGAAGTGATCTGCAAAACAGGTGCACAGTGCTGTCCTGACATCACTTCCTGGATAGTCTGCCTCACAGTTTTGCAGTTTTCATAGCAAGTCATCTTTAGTTTGTTGGTGCAATAATTTTCTAGAAAATGGGAGTGAATGTTATGACACAAGGAAGAATACAGAGGCAGGGCGGGACTCAAAATTTATGAAACACTTTTGGCAGACTCTTGTGCTCCATCTGAGAAAATAAGTCCTCCATAACAAACTAAATTCCTCAGATTATTTGTTGCCAATTTCTCCCTCATCACCCCCCTCCTCCCTTTTTCTCTCACCCATTGTCTCCCTCCCTCTCCCCCCATGTTGCATTGTACACAAACTGGAGCATTGTATGGCATGTGGTGCAGAGAATGAGTCAGACTGCCCACCAGCTGTGAGCCTGGCTTGCCAGTGGGGAGGAGTAAAGATATTTCATGCGGGGCAGGCAACAGCCGACAACACTGGTGTGGGTGATTTACAGGGCTATTAGGATGGGAGCCAACAAGCTACAAAAATGGATCAGCGCTATGGCAAAGACAAATATTCAGATGACTGTTTTAATATTGCTCTCACTGAACACCTACATGTTTGCTTGTGCTACACATCAACATCAGCGGAATCAGTGATGCTGGAAATGAATTGTAAGACAAAGGAAATAATCATAGTTTACTTTCGTTTTTATTTTAATGAGGTGTCAATGGTCCCATGAGCCAAGAGCAGAGCCACAGCTGCCACTGATGACACTAAACTCCTTGGTATTGTCCCTTGGAATTTAAATAGAGTGTTTTAGGCTACAAAAATTACACTTAGTGAGTTTTTAATGAATTATTTTGATATTTTTTTGGAGTAAATATTCCTAAATTTCAGTTTTTAAAATAAAACAAATTAAAATAAAGTGTGGAAAAGGGTTTGAAACAGCATTTTGTGTTGAGAGAACTTGGCAGAAAATATGATTAAATAGTTTAATATACTCACATTACTGTTTGATGCTCAAATGTGCAAAGCAAATTCCATTCATAAAATATGGAATAAATATATTTTCATTGAGCTTTTGTCATTTTGGGGGGGAGGGGCATCACTTGGGGAGTTTGGACTCATGACTTAAGACTTTAAAAGATTCTGCCTCTTGAGTTCCTGGCTATAGTCATGACTTGTGTGTCAGATCCTCTCTGATTAATGTAAAGTTTTTATGGTTGCAATTTCTGATTTGACATCTACTATTCATGTATTGTTCCTCCTTCCTTCAGGTGCATAGGCCTTCACCCCCTTCCCATGCGTGCAGCAAGACGCTGAGAGCCTATTATCCAATTAGCAGCGTTAAAGAAAGGGTCGTCCTTGACACTGCAATTTCCCAATTAGAGAGGAACACGTGAATTTGCTCCCCTACTTAGAGCCATGTAAACGGGGCGTTCGTGTCTTCACAGAAAAAAGGCAACAGTCTGTGTGTAAAAATCTGTGTATGAAAAAAAGCGAAGCATGCACGCCTTGGTGAACGCCTTCATGCGCTGCCTCTCCTTCCTCTTGCCTCCCTCTTGGCTTTGTGTCAGCTTTTGCTTGTGGGCTGGGAATGAGTGCGAGGAGACGCTGCCGCGGCCCAATCCCAGAGCTCGTTTCAAAAGCAGAAAGCCTCTTACATATGAGGAAGTAGCAGCACTAGCAGCAGCAGCAGCAGTAGAAGCCCAAGGAGGCTCCAGCCCGTCGGTCTCACCAGGTCCAGGCTGCGTCTCGCTGGCTGCTACAAGCCCCTCTGCTCTTCAGGGCCCTCCATCGGGTCGGATCTGGATCGGGGGTCTCTGGCGAGCCGTGGAGCGCGTCTTTGGAGCCCCTTGGGTCCTTCTCCGCCATCACTGGTGCCCGAAGAAGCGTCGAGCAGCTTTACGCACCCCGTATCCTGTCTGTGCCTTCGAGTCGAGCAAGATTAAAAGCTTCCAGGGAGGCGCTGCTGCTCCTGCTGCTGCTGCTACACGAGCCGTGGACGGGAAGGGAGCGGGTGGAAGCACCTTGACTTGTTCGAGGAACATGAGCGGGTCCGTGGGGAGCCCCAACCCGAGCCCAGCGGAGTGCGTCTTAGAAGCGTCAGCGGAGCACGGCATCGATGAGGTAATCACCGTGGATCAGCACACGCAGGAGATGGGCACGGTGACGATAACAGTGGCCATTCAAGCGGCGGAGGAGGACGACGAGCCCGAGGAAGTGTCATCCAATAATATTGACTTCCTCGGAGGCAGCTGTAGTGAAGACGAACTCGGAAGACATGACAAATCAAGGTTCGAGTTATTTTCTACTTTAAGGCAATTGTCTCTTGGGCTGACAACAAGGTCGGTAAACTATGAATAGAAGTCAATTAGGCATTTGGTAAACTTGACAGAATTTTCTTTTTAAACATTTGTAAATGTTTTGTTAAATAAATGTTAGTAAAGTGTAGTCATGTCGGGCAGATTGGGTTCAGTGAGGCTGCAGGGTGAATGAACCGTTTCCCTCTTGATCTCAAGGTTATTGGAACCCCATTAGTCTATTTCTGTGTCTGGCTTTTTTAGACTGTATTGGCCCGTGTAACTTTAGTGGGTGAGCTGCCAGCACATGAGCAGCGTGGGTACAGTTGGCTCGTTTTGTTTCACTGAAAGAATGCCAGTGGTGTAGAAAGATGCTGTACAAATAGAACCGACAGGTGTATGACAGTGCCAACAAAAGACGGCACCACAATGTGCCAGCAGGACAATAGATGCTCACAATTTGGAGTGTAAATCCTCACAGACAATACACGAGTGGATATTATTGTCTCCCGGGTGGGATGGCGGGGAAAGTGTTTAACCACCTGTAGGCAGCAACAGTACTGCAAGACCAGACACCTGAGAGATAAAGGATGGCACCTTAGCTTTAATCTAATTCCCCTGCGTCATGGCCTGCTATTTTTATCCCCTGGCCTATAAGTTCCCTACTCGGACTGCGTGCGCAAAGAGTGAGTCAGTGATAGAAAGGCCAATGGGGGAAAATAAATCGCTTTGTCCATACCAAGCTTTTCAGGTTGCCTGCAGGTCACACCTTAAAACCTCTCTGGCATAAAGAGCTTCTGTCACACTTGCACTGTGCAGGCCGGTGCCTTGTGGCACGCTTTTTCCACACAGGATGTATTTTAAGCACACTAAACATCTGATAGGAAGCATGTTAGGAACTGAAAGGAAAGTGTAGGTTGTCAGCTGTCTGTACATGTGGCTTTTCTAATATTACTGCAACATCTCTCCAGTGACTTTCAGTGCTTTACTCACTGTAATAGTGACCTGAAAGTAAACTTCATCACAATCAATTATAAAGACAATCTGTGTCTCCAGTGCTGCTGCTGTATTTAGTTTCATTCACATTTTTAAATGATCGTGCTGACAGTGACATATTCTCCTCTAAGAGCTCACTTCGTGATCGTCTTTATCTGAGGTCCTGGGGAAGCAGTGGGCTCGTGCCAGCTGTGCGGTCAGCCGGCTGGAAAGCTGTTGACTGAGGGTGTGCGCGCAGGAGGAAAAGGAGGGGTAGAGGCTGGAGGAGGTGATGAGTCATCCACAAAATTTCATTCAGACCCTCACTCTAATCTGCAACACTACCTGACTGTGCTGCTTCACAGCGTCAGCCACGTGTCTGACTGAGATCAAATAGTGGCCTAAAAGCTTCAGCTATGCAGTGTTGGTACCAGTTTTTGTAAATTGTATGAAGTTGATCTGGTGAGCCACCATGTTCTGTGTGGGAGGGAGAGCCTGTGACTCTGCGCCCTTCAGATGGAGAGGTCTTGGCAGAGTCAGTATTGGTGGGGCACTGGTGTCGAGGTTTGGCACTGAGGCATGGTGACTATGGCACAGAAGACACAGCTTGACAACTGCTGCAAGGAAAATTGCAGAGAGAAATGGCAGGACAAGGATGCGTTCCTGCCAACAACTCGTAAGCCACTGGCTTATTGTATTAATGAAAGTGAAATGTGTAACAGTTGTAAAGATATCAACAGTTTGGGATACGAAGGAATTTGTTGTTCGGGTGATGTAAGAGTCTCTGCTGACCATGATGCATGTTGTCTTCCCACACACAGTGGTGCCGGGACCAGCGGAGGGGAGTTGGAGGAGGAGAGCTGGCAGCCCCCAGATTCAGAGCTCATCCAAAAGTTGGTTGCTCAGATCGAGTACTACCTGTCCGATGTGAACCTGGAGCATGATGCCTTCCTGCTCAAACATGTCAGGCGCAACAAACTGGGATTTGTCAGCGTCAAGTTGCTCACTTCGTTCAAAAAGGTAACCATGACTGCAAATTACCTGGGTATACTCTGGAAGTAATTGTAATTCCCTGTTCTGATGCAGCTGGAAATTACACAGAAAGCCTTTGCTATTATGGGCTAAATTATAGTGTACACACCATATACTACAGTAGTAGCAGTAATAGCCCAGCAGTGGCTCATTATGTGCTTTTAATGTTAGAAATTGTATATTCCTGAGCTGATTGTCACATTGTCAGTGAATAATGTGAAGATAAATCAAAGCTGAGAAGAAGGCTAAAATGGGAAGCTGTGGTTTGCCGCTTTCTATTCCCAATGACGTATGGGCTCATGAGAATTGGATAGCAGTGACTGGCTGTTTCTAGTGTCAACATGACTAGTAGTTGGAAGTGCATTGATATTCTCACATTGATTCACAGCAGCTGGTGTTACTTTAGGCCCATGCATACAGATTTGTTGGGTTTAAAAAAAAAATCTGTTTATGCCACAAGTGATGAGTCCCCACGCACATGCTCATTTTTTATATAAACAAGGATTCACACATGAGCTTGATGACACTAAGGTGATGCATTTTATACCTGTGCAAATTAAACAGTGATGAATTGAGTAATGCAGTGGAGCCAGGATGCTTAGTACAGCTATTGATTCAGGAAGTATGACTGAAAAGAAGCCAGTGCAAACTGTTGATTGATCCTGATTGAAGTTGCTGTTTAGCCAATTTCTTTAACTGGAGCTTTATAACTCTCAAAGAGAAGCTGTTGTAGGGATCAATATTGAATGGCTACGAGATGCCCCCCTTAAACCACTTAACATCTCAACCATGTAACACAAGTATTGTCTCTTTTGCAGGTGAAACACTTGACCCGTGACTGGAGAACGACTGCTTATGCTCTGAGACACTCAAAGCTACTTGAGCTGAACGATGAGGGGCGTAAGGTGCGGCGTAAATCCGCAGTGCCAGTCTTTGCCAGCGAGTCGTTGCCTAGCCGCATGCTGCTGTTAAGTGATTTACAGAGGTGGCCGGAGCTGGCAGCTCTCACCAAGGATAATGGAGGCAGTGAGGGAGGAGCCACTCAGCAGGAGCAGCTGATGAAGCTGTTGCTGAAGGAGTTCGGAGCATACGGCGCCATCGCCTCTGTCAGAGTCCTGAAGCTTGGGAAGGACCTGCCGGCTGACCTGAAGAGGCTGAGCGGCCGCTACACTCAACTAGGCACTGAGGAGTGCGCCATCGTGGAGTTTGAGGAGGTGGAGGCTGCTGTTAAAGCGAATGAAGCTGTGGGGAGCGAGGATGGAGGAGCCGGTTCGCTGGGGTTGAAAGTAGTCCTGATTGGCACCAAGCCACCCAAGAAGAAGGTGCCCAAGGAACGACCACGTGAGGAAGGAGGGATGCGTAAAAGTCGTTCACTCAACAGTAGGGTACGAGAGCTTCAGTATCACGGGGATGACTCGGCCTGCAGCTCCTCTGAGACTGAGAGCACCCCCACATCCCCTAGGCTGGCCAGAAAGTCCCTGTCCTGCAACAAGCTCAGCCCCACCACTGCAGGCATCAACTTCCAGAACAATCACCTCAGTCCTGGTATGTCCCCACGCAACAGTCCCTGGTCTAGCCCCCGTGCCAGCCCCTGTCCTCAGCGCAAATCTCCTCATTCCCACAAATCTCCCTTGGCAAGCGAGGGCAGACTGAGCCCTGAGCCTGGGCGCCGCTGGGCAGACTACTCCTCAGACAGTAGCCTCACCCCTTCAGGGAGCCCGTGGGTACAGCGGCGCAAGCAGGTGGCGTCTCAGGAGAGCAGTCCGGTGGGCAGCCCGATGCTGGGTAGAAAGATCCAGAACGCCGATGGTCTGCCGCCTGGTGTAATGAGGCTGCCAAGGGGTCCCGATGGAACCCGTGGCTTTCACTGTGTCTCTGTTAGCGAGAGGGGAAAGACTGCTGCCACTCAGACTTGATATGTGCAGCATCCTTACTCATTCCCCAGAAGTCAAAGTATATATTGGAAAAATATGAGCTGTTCTTGGCCATGTCGCTCAGCCCCCACCCTACATTTGAGACTGTGTAGATATATTTTTGTTGAGTGCATCAGTTTTCAGTCTTTGTTATATTTTTATACGACGTTTTGAGTTACCATGGTAACATTAGTGATTTACTAATGGAAATTTGAGTGAATGTAAATTGATATTGCTTTGAAAAGGACCATGTCATCTCCATTGCTGTCTAAACATGTTCTACATGGGGTGGAGAGGGAATTCCATTTTTTTTTTTTTTTTTTTTTTAATTGAAAAGTGTCCTGTCTTGTGTGTAAAAGCTCACAACATTGTCTGTGGATGGTGTGTAAATGTGTAAGTGGTGTAAGTGGCATAGGCACATGGACTTGATAGAGATATCACCATATGCCTTTTCTGTATTTGTCTACTGTGAGTTCCTTTTTTTTTTTTTTTTTTTTTTTTTTTACTACATGCTATTTAAACTGAGGCCATAATTGCTCCGCTGCCATAACGGTTGGACAGTTAAATCTGGACATGATATTTTTTAGTTTTTTATTTCACCTTTTTTAATTTCAGTAATTTCAGTAAGCTTTGGCACTTAGTTGGGAAGGGTCTTTGTCTAGCCCACATTTGTTTGGCAAATAGCTGCTTTATTTAATTTTTTAGCTTTATTTTTTATGTTTCTTCTTGGCATCTGTTTCCATCAGTTTAAAAAGCTCACAGTGAGGTTTGAGGGATGTTCGGGTCAGACAGAAAAAAAAATGCTCTCATGTTCTTGCCTTTACATCTGAGCTGGGGTATTTGTACAGTGCGATTCCTATATTGTACAAATAAATCACTGAAATTGCAATTGACCTGACTTTCTCTTTTATTTGTGGCACATTTCGAGGTGATCATGCTGGTCTGAAACAACCATGATCCAGTCTTAGTATTTGTTTCAATATGTAAGCGAGATTTAAGCAATATATTATTGCCGAGCCAAAACTGTAGAGGCGACTCCACTCTTGGAAGGCAGAATTGGCAAACTAGTGTTTTTGAAATGGATTGCACAGATGGAGGAATGATAAGAGAGATGATGGATTATAAGCTATATCAACCCTGCACCAGGAACATAAAATTAAAACGGTAGAGCAGACCAGTTGCACATGTAAAGCAATCAAATTGCCTGTGTCTTTGTATTTGCGATGCCAAGACATTGTATTCACTAACCTTTGACTTTTCATGATTTACAATGTTTAAAGTGGATGCATTTAGGCTTTACTGACACAGAGCAATAGGAAGACAGTGTCAGAACGTCTACAGATGATCCAAATTGAATATAAATATATAACACACAACCCAACTGGTTTTATAAGTTTTCGCTTCCTCCAGTTATGCTGTGTAGCAGAGGCACCTTTTTGATCGCAATTACAGCTGGATGGATCTGTAAGGCTTGCGCAATTGGACGTTCCCATTCATCCATTGTCTCTGCTCTGTCACGTTGCACGGAGACCTTGAGTGAACAGCAGTTTTCAAGTCTCGCCACAGATTCTTGATTGAATTGAGGTTTTGGGTTCAGAATTGGACAGCATCTTTGTTATTTTGAATACAGTAACTTCCTGTCTAGCTTCGGCTTTATGTTTGGAGTAGTTGGCTTGCAGGAAAATAAGTCATATCCCCTCAGAATGCAGCAGATTTTCCTCTATGATTTGTCTGTATTATGCCTGCACTCGTGTTAACCTTTTCTTTCGTAAGCCTTCCAGGGCCTGCTGCAGAGGAGCATCCCCACAGCATGATGCTGCCACGAGGCTTCATGCTGGGCACAGTGTTTCTGCTTGTGTGCTGTGTTTGACTTACATAATACTTAGGATTTAGTATGATGGACAAAAAGCTCAATTTTTGGAAGACTGTCTTACTTTTTGTGTCAGTCTCCCACAAGCTGTCTTGCAAGTGCTCGGCTGTATTTGAGCCAGTTACAGCACTTACAATCCTCTGGCTCTGTTACTGACGCTCTTCTCACACAGACATTTAGTGTTGTTAGGACAGGCTTTTAGGGATACTTCAGTCTGCAAATTTTCTAGTATCCTTCCACAGGCTGGTATTGTGTTATTGTTCCTTTGTGCTTTTACCATGAAAATGACTAACCAGCTGTTTAACTTTTGAGACACAGGTGTATTGATCTCAAAATCACTTGTCGCACAGGTGCTAGAGGTGGGACCAAGTTATTGATTTTAAAGTGTTAAGTAAGTCTCAAGTCTTTGCACTCAAATCCCAAGACAAGATGGACAAGTCCCAGGTCAAGTCCCAAGTTTTGAGTCCCAAACAAGTCATAATACACTTCTCACCAAATGTTCTGCCATTTAAACAACAGAGTAATAACTTAAGCAAAGTATTAGCTTACTATGGTATTTAGCCTAGACTTTTGTCTTTTGTGCAACTTCAAATGTCAGATAAAGTTGGAAGCTGTCTGTAATTTTCGACTTTCACATTTTGCATACTACTGTTTGTTTGCTGTTTACACTAAATAGTTTCTTGTACACAAATTTTCTTTGGATTGTTTTTTTCAAACAGGCATTCAGTAGTAGTAACTGGATGTGGTCAGATTGGTTCAACCAGAGTGGATCTGTGGTATGAAGTGTTAACTCACTGGAAATAGTTGATTCAGGAAATGAAGCAAAAGCAATTGATTTGTGACACATATTTTGCGTAACATACTTTTTAATCTTTGGTCTTGGGGGAAGCTGTCAAGTATTTTTTAGGTCAAAAGGCTGAAGTCAAATTTTTTTATTTTGTGAAGTCAAGTCTTAAGTCATCACATTTGTGACTCGAGTCTGACAAGTCCAAATGGTGTGACATGAGTCCACACCTCTGTAATGTGCCTTTAAAAAACTGGCTGCACCACTGATGATTTCCATGTTGTAGCACAGGGTGTGAGCACTTACACAATCAATTGTTCTGTGTTTTATATTTGTTCTTCATTTGGATAATATTGTAGAGTGCTGTTTTCATGTTGTCATTAAACGCTACTCTTTGCTGATTTAATTACTCCACTCTAATGCGATGCTGTGTTACAAAACAAAAATGAACAAGTCCGAGGGTGGTGAATACATTTTATAGTTGGATGCTTGCAGAGCCATTAGATGTTTTGAATTCATGCGGTTGCAACATTCTGTTTATCCACTTTTTTTTTTTTTGTTAGAGATACAATCTCCTGTAGGAGTGAACATAATGGCAGGACACAATCTGCTCGGCGGTGCTTGATACAGAGGGTCAGAGCCGATGCTCCAACATTCAAAGCTGCGATGGGACTAAGTGGGATTGTGTAAGAGAGGGATGAATAAACTTTTGTTCTCTGCTTTTGATTAGAAATTCAAAATCAGGAAGTCGTGATATTGTCTGCCTTCGACGGACAATATTTTTGGCTTATCTCCCAGTGACTGCTCATTCTGACAGTGTGAAAAATAACTGTTTGGGATAAGTACCACAAAATTAAACTATTATTCTCATAAGACGGAGTTCTATGTAATTGCCACTAAGAATAAGGATGGTTTCTTACTTGCAGCAAATGGGAATATTATAAAGAGGGATAATTGCAAAACCAAATACCACTCTGGCCATTATTTGTAATTAGGCAGTGGCCTTTGATGTATGACTAAAAAGATATTTAATGCAGTAATTTATCTATTCATTCCAGCCTTGATTTTCCCCAGACATAATTAGTGAGATGGGATGATCAGATTATATCTTTTAAAGAGTAGAACCTTCCAGCTTTGTGTTTGAGCTCATTATTGTACAAATTAATGTATGTGGAGTCATTGTGCATTCAGCTTTGTGTTATACTTAAGTGTACTGCCATCATTATGTTATTTAATTATGAATCATCTACAGTTTAAAATACATGTAACATATAATAGTTTGCTCACACTCACATGCATACACAGTTGGATGTACAAACACATCCATTCAGTATGTTATACCCAATGACTGGTAGTAGAATACAGATAACCATGCAGTATGATTCAAAGTGAGGTCATGCTGAGGCCATCACTCGCAATAATCACAGGGAACATGTTGTGGAAGCCTTTTGTCAGTATTTAAATTGCAGGTTTTCAAAAGGTGACAAAAAAAATAATCATTTTGTAGAATCTCTCCTCAGCTCAGAGTGTATGACACACACTTGCATCAGTCCGTGGGATGGAGCTGGAGTGGCTGTGAGTGGGCACTGACAACTTTGAGGAACTAGAATTAGGGTGGAGTAAATTTACAAGAGTCTCAGCACAGCAGCCAATCAGAAAAGTCGACACAAAAAGCAAGACTTACTAAAAAGGAAATGATTTTTTTTCTCCCTGTCATTACTTTACTATTTTTTTTCTTATCCTCACATTATGTAACATGAGCGCAGCCATATCTTCATAAATTGTTGAATGAAATAGAGCTGTTGTAAAAACTTGGCATAACTGATACACTAAAATTATTGTATACCTGTCACTCTCTGGTCATTTTTAACCAGTCTGTGGTAATTTTAATATCTACCTCAAAAGCCATTAGACAGTGTTGGTTTGGGAAGGTAGTGTTGCTCAGCTGCTGAACCCCTAACCCCCTCCTTCTGTCACGCGCCTGTGGGGGCCACAGGTTCCTGGCATCACTCTGTGTTTAATGTGAGAAAAAGCAGACATCTGTGAAAATAACCCCAGCTAATAATAGAGCTCTTAATTCCAATCAGACACATTCGCGTAGGAGGCCTGAGCTCATGGCCCCTTGAAACAAAGCATCTGTCCCTATGTTGAAATGACACTGACCTTATATTAAGGTAATGATAGAGCATCAGAAAAGAAAAAACAGGCAGGATGATTTTGGAACTGAGGAAACACTGCTTGCTTATTGCAATCTAAAATTTTAGAATTCAAATATTTTAGCTTCGAGTATGAGGTTGTGCCAATATAGAGATGGTTGTCAAAATTATGTTAAATCTCTTTAATTATTGGCTTGGTCCCCTTTTCTGATGCTTTCAAAATCCACTTCTCTTTTTGTAAAACCTGGAGAAGTGTGGCGCCATTAAACGCTACCATAAGCCGTGTGAAACGTTCAGCCATGGTTCTCATATATCCACTGACAACCTGTCCGTACTGCCAGTACAATTAAATAACCACATATAATATTTCACAATTTTATTTACATAACTTAAAAAATGTCATTTACAGTGTTTGAAACAGATTAAAACTACCTGACACTGAAAACAGAAAACGTATTTACATGAAGTGAGAGGTGTGCACATTGGTGCCACACAGTATCAGGCTTAGAGTTTACAGTGTTAGTACACAGTTTTTCTTTTACCATGTGAAGAATGAAAATGAGTGAGGGAAAAAACCAGTTGTATACACAGGATATCTCCAATATCTCCAACACGGGAAACCACAAGTAACTGCAGTTTGCTTGTGCAACACATTTGAAGTGTTTCAATATTAATCATGTACAAACATACACTATGAGAGATTATTATCTCTGCGTCTCCCAAAACTTAGACTACATGTTGTGAGTAAGTGATGATATATATTATGGAAGAAGTTTTCGCCCCTGCACTTCTCTCTGGTTCTCTACCAGTTCCAGTTGCTGTTTGAAGATACAGTAGCTCTTACAAATTTACTTTACAACATGTGAAGTTTATCAGTGAACTTTAACTTCCCAACATTTAAGCTTTTCAAAAGCCATCGTATCATTCATCTATCCCTTAAGGCAATGTTTTTACAGTAGTGGCCTGACTCAATGTGGGGAAAAATAAAGCACATGTAAAATAACTGTTGAACTCATCCACAAGACCAACTGTCTGTTGTCAATAGAAAATACCTGAACAATTTCCCTTCTGCATATTCATGCTTTCTTTCAGGACATAAATATTACCTCTCAGCATGTCTGCTGTGACTGGTATCCCCATGAAAAGCTCTGTAGCCATGGTTACCATTTGACCCCCCACTGACGCATTTACCTTGCAATAAGGAGGGAGCAACACATGCCTCCAAGGTGGCAGGATATCTGTGAAAGAACTGCTCCATGGGAAACCAAATCTATCTATGTATCAGTGTGACGGAGTCTGACCATCGTTTAAGTCAAACCAACCAGATAGACGTAATGACTGGCTTCTCATCCTGCTGCACAGATTCATCTACATAATCTCGACGGGAGATGGATACAGAACGATTGGGATTGATCTGATGGTTTGTGTGGGTAGAGACATCGTTGGTGTAATGAGGAAAACACTTCCTGCCTGTTAGCAGATGGGATGAAGACGTGTTGCACAGCGAGCTCGGGCAAGCAAACGTGCCAAGAACACAGCATCTCAGATCTTCAATCTTTGAGAGTGAAGCGGTGTGAAGGGGAAGAGAGCACAAACCATCCAGCCATGTCTCCAAAACTTCAGATATAGAGAGAACCGTCAGCTGGTCCCACATAACCAACCCCTATCAGAAGAACATCTATCAATGTCCAAATGCCCAGGCCTCCAAAGCTGAACAGTTTGCCCAGACCCTCTCTCCATTGGCCCAGATAAAACCGATCAGCCCCAAAGCCGCCAAGAGTAATGCTGCAGACGGACATGAGAGAAAAACACACAACAAAGTTAGAGATGCTATTAGAGCACACATCCTGATTCACATTGATTTTTGTACAATGTTTCAAGCATCGAAGCAAGTCATAACTCTGGACATACTAGAAGCAGGTTTTACCTGAGTGCTAATGCTGTCGACCATTTGTATCCTCCAGTCCAGTTACAAAATAAACGTTTCTGAAAACGTCTTTTACCTGCAGAAGAAAAAAATAAATATTAAGTGGAAACAGACAGTGGTCCTGAAGTTCAAAAGTTTTCACAAATTGAGAAGACCACAATAATATTTCAGGAGTTCTGAGAGTTCAACATGACAAAAGTGAGTAATTGATAAACACATGATCATTTTTTGGGTAGCGTATTCCTTTAAGACTCGTCATTAAAGCTGCAGTAGGTAGAAAGCCTGAAAACGGTTGATTTTTGAGTCTCATCTAAGTTAGGTTTCGTTCGTCTCCGCCCTGAGCCCCTCCTACCAGATGACTATTTTATCCTACTTGGTTCTATTTCTCCTTCTCTGGGAGCCTCGGCTCTCCCTCACCGCGCAGCAGCCCGCCCCATCCCTCCCTCGCGGCCCCGCACATATACCCCCGAGGCTTGGCTCTCCCTCTCCGCGCAGCAGCCCTCCCCATCCCTCCCTCGCGGACCCGCACATACTCCCGAGCCTCGACTCTCCCTCACCGTACAGCAGCCCGCCCCGCACATACCCCCTCGGCTCGGCTCTCCTCCGCGGAGAGCCCTCGGCTCCGCTCCCCCAGCCAACCCTTGCGCCCTCCGGCCGGGCCCAGCCCCACATCACCCTTCCCCTCCCTCCGGGGCTCCGGGGAATCGAGTTCTGTCTTCCTTTTTTTGGGTTGTTTAGCCGTGTAGGCAGTTGCTGTGGTGGAATAGCTATTTTACCTGGTGCACTGTTCGCCATTGCCACTTGCTCTCCCCTTCTGCTGGCGGCACGGGAACGCGCATATGCAGTAGAACAGCCAATAGGAACGCAGCGGTCTGAGCTGACCTTTGATTGGTTGATGCACATCGGCATGATACTGATTCTTTAGAGGCTGAACACAGAGCCATGGTGAGGTGCAGAAACCTATTGTTTGTCTCAGACCACTTGATTTACATTATGCTTAGAGGATATTATACAATTTTTATTCAGTTATACCAAAACAATGTTGCCTACTGGAGCTTTAAGTTGCTAAGAGCACCTTTAAAAAAAATGCTGAAAACTTAATCAACACAATGGGTGGGACAGGTCTTCTTTTTCATTAATTAACTTGCAACATCCACCAAAATGGGCTGACAAGTAACAGGTCAGCTGGTGGCAAACAATTATAAAAATACTTTTTTGGGGATGTATAAATACCGCTGCCAAAGTAGTTAATTGTCATAGACAAAATATAGTACACACTATGTATTTGCTCGATTTACAGCTGGTGATGATTTGTATGGTAGACCTTAGGACAGCAATAAGAAATAGGACTGAAAACTGTATGATCATAATTATTCAACAATATTATTTTTAGATCGCATTAATCATCAACTAACAGACAGCCAAACCCTGCATAGGAAACTGAATGGTATCCATGCATGGCTAACAATTCACATTTTTGCTCTCAGCAGAAGGGTCACTTTGTACATTTTAACTGAGAATATCTGTAAATATCTAATTTCCCAAAACAGCTATGTCTACAGTGCCTGACTGAGACACAGCTGCCCCACTGAAGGCAAATACATCAAGCAGGCTTTACAGCAGAGCCTTTATCATACCTAAACAATGCACATGTTCTAACACGTCACAGGTGGCGTTGTAGCGCTTGCGTGGGCAGGACACTGTCATACAGTTGGTGGAGTTTGAGCAGCGATACTCGGCGGGGTCCAGCTGCCAGCAGAACTGACAGGTGATGGAGAGGGAGAAGTTGGTTTGCTGCTGTCCCGACTCTCCCTACAAACAAAAGGAAAAAAAAACACGTCATCAATACACAGATATTCACATGTTAAAGCACCGCAGCTGTTTCTTTACATCACTAATATTCTCACCACATGCAACCATGTATCTTGGGGACTTCTGTCAAGCAATGTTTAGATCACTCTCAGTTTCATGGCAACAACAAGCACAACATGACTTGATGAGCCATGTTTCATTTCCCTTTTCATCAGTCAGCTAAACAAGGTCTAGACTTCTGAGTGAAAATCTTCCACTCTTACACTTTGCTGCATGGATCTATCACAAGATTAACTGCTACTCACTATACAGTGAACTCCTTTTTTGGGTTTACAAGTGAAAGATGCTGGTTTCTTGTAGGTGCAGTTGTGATGGTAATTGCAGTGCATGCAATCTGCTGGCAGGCGACTACACTCCCCCCCACTAGGACACTTGGAAGTATAGCTCTCTTCATCTGCGGGAGACACTGCAAAAAAAGAAAACATTAGGTAACAGATGTTTTTCTCCATTTCTAACTAGAATAATCAATGTAATGTAACACAGCTTTGATGCAAATTAATTTATGACTTTATGTCTGGGAGCATTAATGGGTGTGGCAATACACTTGTCAAGTTTTGAAATGACTAACGCTCTGCACTCAACAGAAAGGCCAACTTGAGCAAGGCCATACACTCCTGTTTTTTCTACCTCAAGGCTGCCTGCTAACCAGCAAAGAATAAGATGTAGTTCTATTAAAAACACGTCAAAGCCTAGCCCTAGACAACAAAAGAGCATTATTCTCTTTGAATTGACGTAGGAGGGTAAGAGAGAAAATACGATTTTATATTGAAAACCTAAAATATAAACAGAGAAAATACATCTGAAAATTGACCAGCCCTGCCTAGATTAGCTGCTATTTCTCTGCTCTTGTTTATATGTAATAACATAGACAAATTAAGTTTTAGGAAGATAGCTACTGTATCACATTACAGAGGTTACATTACCAGAATACTGACATAGATCTGCACTGATTTGCTGTTTATAATCTTGGGTTGTGTGTGAGGAATCCCTTTCTATTACGTCGCACACCCCTTTTGTTGGAAAATGCTCTCAGGGTCTGTATGTATGATTTCAAATAATCAAATCATTGAAATGTCAACATGGTATGTCTAATTAGTGCTTTATTTCTTTGTAGGTATAAAGACACAATCTGAGAGTAGGTCCCTTGATGTGTTCAAGAGAAACTCTAGCTCCAGGTTACAGTCAGTATGAGTAATGTTGCTCTATAACCTATAAGAGTTTACCTGAGGCTGCTGCAGGGACCACTGGGCTGGTGATGACAGGCCCATGCTGGGCATCTCTGGTGTAGTGAGGGTCCTGGCCAACATGAGGAGAGCTCAGGTAGCCTGACAAAAAAACGCCAATGAAGAGGATATAGTTCATCACACTGCTATAACCGTGGTTAAAACCGTTAAAACCTAATAACGTTAACTTACATACAATACGTAACTTATTGTGCTGACTATGGTTAAGTGATTACCACTAAAGTTTAGCGTGTTCCAGGACAGACACGCCAGTAACGTACGGTTGAATATAACTCAGACACCTGGTACATGTGTAAGTCGTTAAATAGGATTCTATTGTAATTAAACATCAAACGTTAAGCTAAGCTAATCACCGAGACGTTGACTGGCTCGTGACACTTCTTGCAAATTAGCAGAGGCAGCAAATTGTTAGCTGTCATGTATTGTAAATTAAACAGTATATAATTAACCACACATGTCTGCTAACGTTATATGAGACAAACAACTGTTAAATCAGCGCTACTATCACAGCATCCTGTGTTTTCATTGCTAACTAGCTAGGTGCACTGGTGTTAGCTCGCTAGCTAGCCAGTTGCTAACTTAGTGGATGGAAGCTAACGTTAGTATGCTAACGACAAAACGTTTACACGCGAGTCAGGCTGGTTTTAACCTGTACATGTCCACGTAACATACCGTTAACACACTGTAAGACCAGGTCCAGCAACAAAACGGAAACTATTCCGAAGGTTTTGAAGCACCGTCCTCGGTCCGGTCTCCAAATCTGACAGATAGTGGCCATTATTGCAGACAGTAGAGTGAACCTATGCTGCATTCAAGTGATGTAGGGAAAAAACAGAACGTCAGCGATCCTCTGCTAGTCTGAGGCAAGGGGACTGCTCGCTTTTTTCTTTGGTTGTATGGTCAAAGCCCCGAAGATGGAAGAAATACTCAGCTGACACTAACTGGTCATAATGCGTTTAATACACTGATCCATTCACATACGTCTTAGATTAGATCTGCACTTCGCAAATAACAATAAACCACGTTGTTGTCACTTCGAAATGCCATTTTACCAGGATAGTATTGAGTTTTTGTGCCATCTTTCTGATGACTATGAACGCAGCACAAAGAGTAGCACAACTTCCTGTTTCTCATCTTTTTACGCTCACTGTACTTCTCCTGTAATGATGTCACATTTCATTTGGCGTTTGAAGGATATTAATTCTGTAGGGTGACACTAAATGTCTTCTCATGCGCACAAAAGCACTAATATGGAAACAGGAAGTAGGAGAGAAATAAATTTTACTGTCTGACACTGTCATATGTTCCTGATCTGTTCCTACATGCTGAAAAAAGGATGTGGCTCTGTATTGCTCAATAGATAATAAAAAAAACACCTGCTTAGTTTCAAGACATTTCTTTGGAATGAGTAAACCTATTCCTGGAAGGCTGCATGTCTCTACAAAATAATCCTATTGCTGTTTATCATGATGTAATTCGTGTAAAAACACAAGATAAGATAAGATAAGACAATCTATTCTGATGTGAAAACAGAACAACAAAACACTCACATTCAGTAGATTTTTTTTATTTCTGGGATTTCCCCACAGAGACAGACCTTTGTGACAAATCAGTGCCAAGTTCACAAAACCGTTATTATGACAATGATCACATTGTTTCCCTTAATTACCAAGTGACTTCCCATACCGACAGGTTTTAATTACGTCCACAAACTTGTCCATTTCCATCCTTCATACATGATCAGTGGGCATTTCTGAGTTGTTTTGTAGCCATTCATCACATTTGCTTACAGAAAATCATCTCATCATGTCCTCTGTTTGATTTCGGCTCTATGTACTACACCTTCACTGTACCATCTTTACATGTCCCATCACTTGTCCCCTCACTGCTCATCTAGCTGTAGCTGAGCAATTCCAGCGCAAAAGTCTGGATTGTTCTTTATTTTGATCAGAACTCCTCCTCTGCGTTTGGACAGCGGCACTGTTTGAGCAGGGTCAAGCGAGCCAGCACCTCGGCCACCGACAGCTCTCCGTGGACTTTGTTGTCTCTCGTGCGCACATTGACGCCGTTAGTCATCTTCTCCTTCTCTCCAACCACTGCCAAGACACAAGAAGACACAACAGCTTGATATGGGCCAAGTCACACCACACACAGCTACCCTAACACATTCCCTGTTTTGTGCCGCTCACTTCAACAACTGTGGGTGGTTAGCCAGCTTGGAGGTCCATTTGCTTTGTAGTCAGCCAATTAAGAAGGTTTATTTTGAGTCATTATTATTCTCAAAATGAATTCACTGACAACCCCACAGTTAAAAAAAAAAGAACAAAACATTCGATTGATCATTTTTGAAAACATCTTGTTTTGATTTCCGAATGCTTATTAACAAAATCTACTGTTGTAACTGCAGATGGATTTTAAAGTCTGCAGTGCTTCTGCTGAAACAATAATGTAACATTGATAAAACTAAAAGCATAAATTATGAAAAAATGCATTATAAAATGGATAATATGGACTAAAAACATGCAAATTAATGAATACACTCATTTCATTAAACATGCTTTAGATGCCTTATCCTCACAGAGGCTGTTGTACTAATCCTCAAGTTTTGCTATGATGTGGTCCTTTACATTTACCTGAATAAATAAATAAATTAAATTAAATTTAAAAAAAAAACACCAATTAAATGTGATTGAAGGCAACCCTGAAAGCAACAAAAACTGGGGTGAAAATGTAATCAGTGGTCAGTCAGTGCTCTGAAATGACATAAGATGGTAGATTTTCTCACCAAGAATGAAGTTATACTGGGCCAACTGAGCATTACGGATTTTCTTATTTAGAAGACAGCTTGAATCCAGGTCAGCATCTGCCATGAAACCAGCTTCTGTAAACTGTTTGCACACCTGACAGGTGGGGACAAAAAAACAGTTTTTGTTTCAGTGTTTTCACAAATCTGAATGCCACAGATAATTATTGTCTGCACTCATATGATTGCACTTAAATGTGGTCAAGATAGGGAAGTGGAAGACATACCCTCTTGGCGTAATCCTCACAAGAGGGGTTGACAGGCACTAACATCACCTGACGTGGAGAGAGCCACAGAGGCCTATCGGAGGGAAAGACAGAAAGTAATGAAACAGTCGTCACAATGATATACAGGTGTGATAACTTTACCAGTGTCATTTCTCCCTGACGAAAAGGAACCAATAGGTGAAATCTTTATGGAATGGGGATGTTGAAATGATGCCAGAAAGTAGAGAGGACATTATGGTTAAAATGTTATGAACAATACAGTGGATAGTTTGGCCCTCCAATGAGATAGCATGTCACACACAATCACCCTAAAGATTTGTATTAGAATACAAAATATTTAAAGTAATTACATCTGAACACATGAGACAGATCAAAGCAGTGGGCCATATCAGCATTGAGAATCATGGTTTATTTTTTTTTTTATTTTTTTTTTTTAATTGTAGCTATTCAAAGCAAAACAGCAACTAGGAAGCAGCTCACCATTTCCCTGCATAGTTCTCGGTGAGAATGGCAATCATCCTCTCCACTGAGCCCAGGATGGCACGATGGATGATGACAGGTCGTGCTTTGTCATCCCCATCCTTCCTGTAAGACATTGCATCAGAGAGAATATCAAAAGGTTTCTGTGAAATGTGTCACTATGACTGTAAACAAGACTTAATCTTTCATATCTATTATTGCAATATTTGTCTCTATGATTATCCTTATTCATCTATCTATCTTTACAAATTGAAGTTTCTGGAGAGGTAATAAATCAACCTGCCACCTGCTCAACAAGCTTAAATTTGCATGCATCTCTTAACCTCTTAAACAAACAGCTCCTTGAAACACAGCGCACAAGCTGAGACATTTTATTCAGGACAGGATTAACATACAACCCTTGGTGCAGTAAAGCACACAGACTCAGCAGTGTGTCAATGTTTTGATTAGGTGACTCACCCCACAAAGGTCAGGTTGAAGCGGATAGGCAGCTGGAAGTCCAGCTGAATGGTTGCGCACTGGTGGTAACGTCCAATTGCATCTTTGATCTTAATGTCAATCTGCGACAGCAAAGAAAACAACACAGGTTTACAAACCTCAGGGAAGTATTAAAATATTGTTGTGTTTGGCAGCAAATAAAGAAATGTTCTGACCTTAGGTCCATAAAAAGCACCATCTCCAGGGTTGAGTTTCCATGGCTCCCCAAACTCATTCAGGCTGCTCTCCAGTTGCTGTCAAACATGAGGCATATGTTAACATACACTTAAATCTAAACAATGGAAAGCATTCACTGTGAAGCAGGCCAGGTCATTCAGCAGTGCACAACTGAGGACAGAGCATCATTGCCTAATACACTTCTACATTTACATCATAAATGGTACCCAATTTACAACTGTACAAAATGAATGACAGAGATCAAGTCAAACAAATGAGCAATATCTTTTGACACAACTCCTACATAAATTCAAGGAAGTTCACAGTGACTCAGGTCTGACATTACAACTGGTGCTTCATCTTTATGCTCACATTCAGTTGCAATAACAACTTGATCAGTTTCCAGATTTTTTATGCTCTAGTAATTTCATAAAAAAATTGCATTGAAATGAAATGTTGTTTCCTAACTATCAGGCTGCAAAAATCACACGAACATGAATCTAAAACAGACATCCCAGTCTATAATTTCTTACGCAAGATTTTAAACACAAACGTGATGGTGACTGCATTTTAGTCTGTGCCACCAAAGCAGGGTCTAACACCATAAATTGTGATTGTCAAACACTTAATTTCCTGCATTCTGGTGAACTTGTATGCATAACATTTGAGCCTTTTTTGCATCAGTTTATGGAAGAAATGTCACAGTACTTCCTGCTTCAACCATACATAGTTGATTATTCTTCTTTCTGTTTTATGATTGATACCTATAGCCACCACCAAATGCATTTGTTCTAACTACTGAGGGGAATGTGTCCCCTGCAGCATCCACTACTGTAAAATGGAGTGGGCAAAACTTAACCAACACCTCTCAATATAACAGGCTTCAAAACCACTTCAGTGCAATCCATGTTTGGTAAAACTTGGATTACATTCAGTAGCAGGAGGAGGCATTATTGATGAAACTATTTACCCTAAGCTAAACTGTCTTAATTAACAGGTTACATGTATTTTTTTTTAAACATTTTAATTTATCATAGATGTGAAATTGAAGTGCAATTAAAGCCTAACACACTCTGTGCTTTCGGCTTTGGAAAAAACCTGATGTTCAGACTTTGTCCCGTGTGCAGAGAGAGCTTATTTAAAATATATAATTATATTTTTTCATACAGAAGTGACTTTGAGGCTTCCTCTTATTTGATGTGACATTTATTTGGACAGCATAACGGCATGTTGGAAATTCTTTAAAATATAAAAAGGATGCTATTATCCTACATTTAAGGGTTGATGTGCAATTACATTTATGGTTTTGCATTGGCATACTAACCTAAAAACAAACTAACCCTGGCCTGTTTGCCAGCCCCTGCCTAGAAGACAAAGTCAGATCATCATCTGCAGAGTATTTACCAGAATTCGTCTGGTACCTGGAGTTCATTTTCCACCATAAATCATCACTACAATGCATGATGCAGTATACCTTCTCAGCCTGAGTCCACACAGCGATGTCACCCAGGTATTTCTCTGGACGAGTGGAGAGGTGGAGCTGGAAGGAGAATCCAAACACATCATAAACACAGCGGAGGAAGTCCAGGCAGCCCTTCATCTCTGACTCGATCTGTAGAAAAACAACAAAAAAATAGAAAAGATGA